TTCACTCATATCTCCACTAAGACCTCGGCGAGTGCTTCGCATTTACAGTGCTATAATTATTTAATACAATTTAATTACTAAAGCATAGAGTTAAAAATAAATTGGACACTCCAAATTAAAGCAGTCCTATTGCCACAAGAAAACATTCATATTATAAATGGTTGTAGGTATGTATTTACGTATTGATTTCGAATCAATAACTGTAAATAAAACTCAATAATAAATTTCGATATGCAAACAATAATGAGAGAACTAATTGAAGACTCTTTACTGGGCTCAACAATTGCAAAAAAAAAATTTGAATACCAAACATTTTGGTAAATAAAAATAGTTATTGCAATACATACGCAGTTATTAGCACGTTGTACATAAATATTTACCAGCACACAGGGTGTCGGTTAACATTGCATACACAAAATTATGTACAGAAAAAAGTGGAAAACTAAACATTTCTCTCCCAACCAACAATTGTACTAGCAACAGCTCCGTTTCTCCGTAAAAAAATACGAAGTACCACCTTATTTGCGGCCGCGCTTGCTCTCCAATGCAGGCTTGTCGGGATGGTGCTTACGCACGTGCACGCCGAGGTTGCCGCGCTGCTTGGCCTTGTAGGAGCAGTGGGGGCACGGGTGGCACGGTTCTTTGCCGCCACACTCGACATTCTCGTGGCGGCGCAAGGTCGACTTCCAACGGTACTTCTTGCCGCAATGCCGGCACACATACTTCGAGTCGGCATCATCCTGATGCATCGACGAATCGCTCAACGATAGTTCGTATGTGGTTGTTGTGGTGCCGTCAATGCTTGTGGCGCCCTCCTGTTTGATGGGTCGCGTTGTCAGTATGGTGTAACTCTTGGTGATGGTCGGTTGTTCGTGCAGTGTAATGCCGTCGGGCAGGAGTGTCGCCTCAACGCTCGTTGTGGCATCGTCCTGTTCCTGCAACTGCAATTGCGCGTGATGACTCTGTTGCGGATGTATGTGATGCACTTGTGATTGCTGTAAATGCTGCACATGATGGTGGTGGTGATGATGATGATGATGCAATGCCTGCTCAGAGTCCTCGTCGACCGTTGTCACTTGCGTGGTTGTCGGCACGCCGGTTTGTATGTGGTCGGTAATTTCGGTTGGTGCAAAACCGATGCCGATTTTTGTACCGTCCGGCAGTTCGATGTCATCGATTTCGGCATATTTCACCAAATCGCTAATAATCGCCGCCGAGGCCGATGGGTTGTTTAAATCGATTTCACTTATCTCATATTTCGTGCCTTCGGTGAGTTGATGGTGGTGTTGCGTCTCGGCATCGTGTGCCTCCACGATCTGTACACTGGTGGCGGTGGTGCTCTGCGGTGTTATTATTTTGCCACGTGAATATTTGATACGCGATACAACCGGTTTTTGTTCAGCGATTTGTACATTCCGCAGGCTCATCAAATTGATTGTCTGTGTGTGGTGTGGTGGATGTGTGGTGACGATGCTTTGTACTTGCGGATGTGTTTGCAATTGTTGCATTTGCTGATGTTGTTGTTGCTGTTGCTGGTGTTGTTCCAATTCATGACTGTGCTGATGTTGTTGCTGATGTGATGTATGCGGTTGCTGTCCGAATTGGTGTGATTGTATGATCGTGGCCGAAGGTTGGTGCGTCGCGATTGGCGAGACCGTCGGTATTATCTTCTTCAAATTGATCAGTTCTAAAGTAAATAGCAGGGCATTTGAGGTTGTTAGCGTTAAGGAGAAATTGTTATAGAATATATGCAAAGAATAATAAAAAAAACAGTCGTTCAGAAATATTTATATAAAAGCCTATGAACCTCAAAACTACAGAACGGTTGTGTTTATTGTTTTTAATGTGGACACGATAAGTATTAATGAAACATTGATATTAAACATAAGGCACTGAGGAAGTACGCGAAAGAGTTGCCACCTTTTGAGAAAAAAACGGAAAATAAGACCAAATACGTTTTACAAGCATTTAAGAGTGACCTTTAAAATTTCAATAGAATTTGAATAAAATTTAGATTTGTGGTGGAAAAGGGTTGCCATCATAAAAAAAACTGAAAATATGTACAAGATCGTGCTACAGACATTTAGAAACGACTTTTGGGAAAATATTTGAAAGTCTTTCACTAAGATTTATTTTGGAATAAGAAATAACTAGGCATTTATGCGGCTTCGCGGCTTCTTATTTAAATCTATAATAACTTAATTCTATGATATCTCTAAAAGCTCAAGTTGATCCGCGTAATAGTTTAGAAGATACAGCTTTGTAGCTAGAGACCAGCTACATAGTCACTTGAACGTTAATCGCGTTTTTCTCGAAACTGTTTTCCCAAGTCAGTTGTCATGATTTTTCGCGAACTACTCAAACGGTCTTAATGAACTTTCGCATATTGCTTTTGAACGAAGAGTTTTTTTGGTAAAGTTACAACTTAAAAAAAAAAAACGTCGGCAAATTTTCACCAAAATTTGATTTTTTTTGTAAAATATATTACTTTTTGGTTTCTCTTTCGTCCAATACCAGTTTTTACAACAAATGATTCTATGAGAAGTTCTGTTATCAACACGTAGGTATCTTTTTCCGAAACATTGCTCGACATGACGTCGTAATGGTCGAATTTGAACAAAACATTACACTTTTTTCTGATAGGGCTTATTTGTTCGAGGAAACCCATGTGAACACTAAAGAAGGCTTCTGGAAATTGCTCGGTGTTCATCAATTTGGACGTATGTAGTATGTAGTATGTATAAGATGCCTAAATGAGCGACAAATATACTAATGGGCGTTTGGGATAATATTTCAGAAATATCCGGTGCTAACTTTAGTCTTTAAATATTTTCAAAATTAGTTCATACGTTTTAGAACAAACATGGCTACAAAATATATGTTCGAAACATACGGCGATCAAGAAAGTATTGCCAACTGCTGAAAAAAACCAATATTTAGGTCAAATTAAACATATTTTGTAATATAGTAGCCACTTATTAAAAAAAGTAACAAGAGTTTTCTCTCTTTTCTACAAAAACTCTTCATAATTACAAAATATTCCTTAAAAGAACCTAGATCAATCCATTTGTAAGGCAGATATAGTATATGCTTTAGTGACACGATCTGCACAATTTCTTGCGAGATTGCATCATTGATAGATCAGATTAAATGAAAAAGCTTTCCACACAAGGGTTTGAATTTTATCGATCAGTTTGTAAGGTAGCTTGCATGCTATAGTAACACGTTTTTGTACAATTCTTTCGGAGATTGCAACATTTCTTTAGGCAATAATTTAAACGAAATTTCTTGAAGATATTTTGTCAAAGAAAAAAGCTTTCCAAGCTTTTTATTCCTATAGTACAGTTGGTTTAAAACTGTTGTACTAGAGTTTTCGATCAAAAACCAATTCAGTAGTAGCATATATCATACGATTTAATATAACTTTGAACTTTTTATGATAAGAATCACTTCAAATACGGCTTGTCATTTTGGGAAAATCATTGAAATGCTTTCACTAGCAAATTAAGATCTTTTATTTCAATATTTCAAGCATTTTTGGACACGCACAAGGCGGGTTTACTACAGAATGAGCTACGCCAAACACGCCCATTTTTCATATTTAGATCTTTCTTAATACTACTCTCAACGTTATATATATATAAATAAATATAAATAACTGAAATATTTAGATGTAGTATGTATGACTCACCACACTCGGAGGAAGGTAACTTGATTGGGGTGCTCGTCAACGTTGCCAATGTCGGCTTGACATCTGTAAGAGTTTGCACATCCGTTATATGCGCTTCAGCATTGAGTTCACTAACATTGGTAGCGACTGTTTGTTCATCATCCGTGGGCGCAATCTTAGCCGTTGTTATGTTGCCCAGCTTTTTCACATGCAACACAAAGCCATCTTTATTCTGTGTGATTACGATGTCATTGCTCTCCAGCAGGCAATCGTCCAATTCGAATTCCTCGGGTGTTATGTCCGTCTGTTCCGATTTATCATGCTTAACTAATTAAGGAAATATCACAAAAATTATTTTTATAAATATTTTTTTCAATACAATTTATGTCATAATTATAATTATGGTAAAAATAAAATGAAAAAGTTATAGCATTAGAAGAATTAAATCGAAAACAAGCAAATTCCTTCGAAATAAAAAAAATGTATTTATATGTAGGTGTATTTATATGTAGGCACGTATATATGTATGTGTATGAGTTTTCATACATACATACAGCAAATTAGTGTTTGTGATGTGTAGCTGTAGTTTACAATAATGATTTATGTAGATGTTTGTGTGCGTGTGTGTGAAAAGTTTAGAAAAACAATTAACATTGGATTTATTATGTAGCATTAAATGACACATTGCTGATTTTTTTGGAATTATTTATTTTCAAAACCTATATAATATATATTTATATGTATAACCTAGCAAAATTTACAATACCATTTTCAACAATTTTTAAGCTGAAAATGAGCTTATAATAAAATACGACAAACTTTGAATAGGAAGGCAAACATCTTTTTGTTGTTGTATTTGTTAATTTTCAAGCCGTACGTCAACGCTAGCGTAGATATGCTGACTTCATTTAAACATACTTAAGTACAAGCGCTCAGAATTGTCCAAACGTTTTATGTAACATGGCTAGCGCTTTCAAAAGTCGACATACATATTTATACATATGTATGTATGTACATGAATAACTGTATTTATGTAAATTTTGTAATTCTGTACTTTATTAAGTATGCTCAGTTTGCGCTCTGTCAATTTCCATATGCTGCGACTTCATATGCGTATTGAGGCTGTGCCGGTACCGCGTTACGTAAGAGCAATGCGGACAGCGTTCCGACGGCTGTTTGCCGCACTCGAAGCGCAAATGACGCGACAAATTCTTTTTATATGCATACATTTTATCACAGCGGGGACAAATGTGTGGATCCGTTATGGAAGAGAGTGTTAGCGCATCGTGCTTTTCTTCATTAAAACTGTCAGTGCATTGTGCAGAAGCGGCTGCGCTATGGCGTTTCTTCAGTATTTCTTTCCAAGCGATATTGTTCAATGACGTCACAGATTTGATGGAAAGCGCCCAGTAATTCTCTGCAAAAGAGAAAATTAGAGAAGAATAGGTGAGTACAAGTAAGTATGGCGTAAATTAAAAAAATAATAGTATTTAAAAATAAAAGTAAAATTGAAAATAAAAATCAGAGTAAAGTTAAAAATTTAAGTAAAAGTAAAAAAATAAACAACGAAAAAGTGATGCGTCTATTTAAAATATTCACTAAAAATAATTTGTCACATTATTTTATTTAATTTTTTATATATTTAGGTATGATAATA